TTTAAAAAAAAAATATGGAACACAGCCCGGCGTGGTGGCACAGGCCTTTAATCCCAGCAGAGGCAGGCAGATCTCTGTGAGTTCAAGGCCACTCTGGTCTACATAGTGAGTTCCAGGCCAGCTGGGACTACAGGGAGACCCTGTCTCAAAAAGACCAAAAAAAAAAAAAAAAAAAAAATATGGAACGCTTCACGAGTTTGAGTGTCATCCTTGAGCAGGGGCCATGCTAATCTTCTCTGTATCATTCCAATTTTAGTATCTGTGCTGCCGAAGCGAGCACGCAATAAAATATTTTTTTAAAAATGAGGAAAAATAAAAGCAAAACCAGAGCCTGTTGTGGGTGGTGCATGTCTGTAATCTCAGTAATCTGGAGGTGCATGCAGTAAAATCAGCAACTCAAGGACAGTCTTGGTTGGAGACTAGCCTGGGCTACATGAGACCATGTATCAGAATGGTTCAGTAGGAACCTAGTAAGTGCTAAATGGATGCACCACACTAAAATGACAGCCCTGAGCAGCTCTTCAGCCAGGGTCTCAGGGACTACTAGCATCCCTGCCCTCCATTTAAACACTGACACTGACCAGGGTCCAGCCCCCGCCCCACCTCTTCTTTTTGTATCTTCTATGTGCCAGCTCCTATGTCCAAGCCTTATAAACATGAATATGTAGCAAGCTGAGGGGCTAAGGACCAACATCTCCATTTCACAGCAATTGAAAACCAGAGCCATCAGCAGTTAAGAACACTGACTATTATTGCAGAAGACCCAGGTTCAAATCCCAGCATCCACATGGCAGCTAACAACTGTCTGTAACTCCAGTTCCAGAGGATCCGACAGCCTCTTCTGTCCTCCTCGGGCATTGCATGGCACGGGTGCACTTACCTACATGCAGGCATAACATTCATACACATAAAATAAAAATAATTAAAAAAAAACAACCCAAAACCAGAGCCATTAACCCCACTTGCCAGCATCACAAGGCTAACAGGGCAGAGCCAGGACCTTGGTATGTCTGACTCCACAGGCTGCTGCAGAGTCTCTTTGCTAATTCATTCATTTCAGGGTGTCTGGTGGAGCACCGGGGAAGGGAAGCATGAGGCGATGTGGCCCCTTTCCTGGTGAGGGGCCCACGGACCAGTGGCAGAGATGAAGCTCTGAAGCCATCCTGGTCCAGCATGGAGCTGGCTGACAGACACAGTGTGCTTCCTGCTCAGCCTCTTGTACGTCAGCCTCTAGCACTTCTTGAGTGGGTGATCTTGAAACAGTTGCTTGACCTCTCTGAGCCTGAGGTGGAATGGGTGTTTCAACTGTGCTTGAAGTACTGGACATGGCCCCAGCCCTCTGCCCCCACTAGCTGATAATACCTAAAGCCAGCTCAGGGTGGCATGCCTGAGAATTCAATTCATTTAATATTCATGGAGTCCTTTGTCAGTTCTGTTTGTTGAGGATGTATCAGCGAACAAAAGGTCTATTCTGCTGCTTTTGTGTGCTTACAGGATGCAGGAAAACAGACCCAGGCGGCAAGAGAAACAAGCAAAGCGTGGGTATGCCGGCCGCTGGTGGTAGGTGAGAGGAGGAAGTGGCAGGTATGGAGGGCAGATGTGTTGCCCTTGAGGTGGTCAGGA